TGCCAAAACAAACAAAAGTGAGCATCATAATGAGTGTTAGTATACTGAAGGCATGTCATACCAGCTGATGTGCAGCATGCTAAAAGTTAGTTAGAACTTCTTCACCGGTGCATACATAGCATTACTAGTCATGGAAAGTTTGTTTGTTTGTTTGTTTTTGCTTCCTTCTTGCCAAATTTCAGGCATGTCTTATTTTGGATGGAGTATAACTTTTATCTATTATTTCATCCTGTAAAAACATGTGGAGACAACGTTCATTCTGTGCCAGGGGATGACCAGCGACCCTAGGAATAAAAAAACAAGTTTAGTCCCATATTTTACAAAAGTGATAGGAAGACATGTCAACACACATATGTTAATGTTAGAAGGCAAGTAAACTGTAGTAATACTAACTGTTACTCTGGAGTGCCTGTTAATCTGTACTTTACCAATTAATGGTACAGTTTCTATCTTTCAGTTCACCAGAGTATTTGATCCCGGACTAGCTTTTCACTGCTTCTGGTGTGCACATACAATCAGCTTCTCAACATGTAAATCAGTCTATTTGTTAGAAACCTAAATGAATTTTAATTTTAAAACTGAAGCATGCTATTGATACTAAGATTTTAAAGAAGGAAAGTATGTAAGAATATTATACCAAATGAATTAAAGATACACTTAAATTCAATAAAAGCTCCAAATAGTAGTAAGTAGGCAAAGATGTTCTTATGTTTTTAGGAAAAATGTTTCATCACAGGCTAAACATTATACTTAAGACCAGATTGGCAACCACAGTTTGAAACAGAAAAAATCTAATACAGAATTAGGGTGTTCTGGTGGTGCAGTCCATAGGGAGTTGTACTGCTATCCAAAGGTAATGTCTCTCTGGCAGTTCTAATCCATCAAGAGCCCTGAGGGAGAATGAAGGGCTATCTCTTTCCAAGTGATTTAGTCTCTTGAAACCCCACTGACGGGTCAGTTCTGAGTTGGCTTTAATAGTGTACTAAGTTTTGAAGTTTCTGAATGTAGCACTAGGAATCTTGGCTGTGGCTGTAAAACAAATAAGTAGTTGGCTGCTAATAAAAAAGCTGATTTAAACCCACACAGTAGGTTTTTGGGAGAAAGACCTGAAGCTCTGCTCCTGTAAAAAATATAACCTAGAAAATCATATGGAGCGGTTTCATTCTGTCACATGCAGTTGTATGTAATGAGTCAAAGTCAACTCAAAGGCACCAAGCAACAACAAAGCAGCACTGACCTCCAAAAACATGTATGTTCATGAAAAGGCAATTAAGTCGTGTGCCAAGGTAGAGAAGCAAGAGGTAAAACCCTTCCCTTCTGTTTGCCACTTGCAGATCTTCAACTCACAAGGTAAAAATTCAAGTGCATTCACTGAGTAGTAAGTTCAGACAAGAATATTCACTAGGATCTGACTTGATTTGGTCAAACTGAAGGCCAATGCAAAACTAGACTAAGCTCCTTCCTGGCATAATGCTCCCTATTATACTGGCCTTTAAAAAAATATATTTCAAATGACTAAAACTGACAACTAGAAATTTTGGTGTAGAGCTTATTATGATTTTCTAAAATAAAAGATAAACAATCTCAAGTCTTCTATTTTCAAAAGAATACATCTTGCTATGAAAATTTAAAATGTGCACCTTTACACAAGACATGCTGATAATAACTCCATCTGCAATCAAACAAAATGATTGCAAGTGTATTGTACGTTTTATTGTTCATGCTAGAACATACCTTACATCAAAGAATCATAAGTAAAATGATATTTTTTTAAATACTGTAATTTTAAATGTAATTTGCATAAATTAGCCAAGAAAACAAATATGAAACTCAGGTCAATACAGAGATACTCATTTCAATCATGCAAGTGTGTTAATATTTATCACACGATATTCAACTTGTCAGATAATTTCACTTTGTTTAAATTATATGAAAAGTTAGTTAGGAAATGACCAAAAAGAAAGGTAATTAGTAATTTAGATCTAAATTTCTAGTACTCAAGCTCAATTAATTCACTGCCATCAAGATGGAACCAGTATCCAATTCACTGACCCTGCAGTGGATTTCTGAGACTGTAAATCACAAAAGGGGGGGAAGATTGCTCATCTTTCTCCCTCGGAGCCACTGGTGGATTCAAATCACCACAGGGATGGCTTCTCGACTAGCAGTGCAGCTCTACAGACCAGGCCACCGGAGTGTCCTTAAATTTCTAATATCACCTAAATTTGAATCTTTGAAGCTGTTCATTCTTGCACCTTGAGGTATAGAAGGCACTTACTTGGGGAGCTCTGGTGGCCTAGTGGCAAGGAGCTGCAACTACAATCCCAGAGGCGCATGGTTTGAATCCACCAGATGCTCTGCCGGGGAAGGAGGGACAATCTCCTCCTGTACCAGTCAGATCTGATTTGACGGTGTGTGTGTGTACACACACACACACACACACACACACACACACACACACACACACGGCACTTACTTGTTTATAAACTGCTCCAGCCCTTGCTTTCTTTCCTCAATAAAACTGTCATCAAAGATTCCATCATCTCCTCTAAAAGGAAGTTGACGCAAAAACGCTTTTCCAGGGAGCGGGGGAACTACAACCTAAAGACACAGAAGGTTAATGCTAACCGTGCTGGTGTCTGGGTTGTGTGAATATTTACAGAGCGCCACATACAGCATTCCTCACTACGAGAGCCATTCTACTACTCAGTTTAAATCGACAAGGGAATCAGCAAAAAACACAATGAAATAAGACAGTATTTCAGAGACAAGATAACCAATAGCAGAAGTGTCTGTCAAGAGCAGGGCCATGAAGCAACAAGACCAACAACAATATGAAATTAACATACATGGCAACATCACCCAGAAACTGATGCAAACACAGAAATATACAAAGTAACACATATATGAATTGAAAAATGGGAAATGAGGTTAGCAGTTCACAAATGACAAAAATACAAAGCAAAGAGAAGGAAAAAGAAGTGTAATTATAGCACTTTTAAGTGAAAAGAAGATTTCAGGATAAAGTAAATCGTTATTTAGATGGGAATAAAAAATCTGTAGGGTAACTTCTAGGAAAATTAGAAACTTTCTCATCAAAAGCAATGAGGAAAATCATAAAGACAGAAAACTAAACAACAGCAATAAAGGAAATGATAAGAAAATCTATTAAAAAATGAAATCAGCATAGAAAAGTAGATGAACAAAGGAAACTACAAAAAAGTATGCAGCATCAGTCCATAAGATGGATGTATCTAGAGTATTTTATGCTATGTAAAATGAATCAGTCACAAAGACTTTCACAGTATAAGACCACTATTACAAAAATCTAAGGAAAGGTTTACACAAAAAATTAATTTTGGATAGTCACCAGGGGTGGGAAGGGGGGGGGGAAATTCATTAAATCGATAAGTTAAGAGAAAAGTAATATACAAACACTGATCACCATAATTAATCTATTATTAAAGCTATAAAAATGTACATGACCAAATGTGTTTGAGATGGCTAGGTTGGCCCAGGATAAAACAGCGTTTAGGGATCTTGTACATAAGGTCGCTATGAGTTGCAAGTGACTCGATGGCACATAACAACAACAACAATAATGACATAAAACAAAATATATATGAATGACTGAATGTAAAACAAATAATTTGTAAACTTTTCCTCAAATTAAATATATATATATTTTTTAAAAGGCAAGGCAGGACAACAGTTTAATTATCATTGTTCACAGGGATAGAAAAAGAAAACTCAAGTAATGCTGGAAAACGGCTACCAAGTCCCTCAGACACTTTTGATGCTATTTTGGGAAGACAATGCTTTACTGGAATGAAAACACAGAGATGAAAATTGATTCTCAAATGAATAAGAAGTAAAATGCTAGTAATGGTCTGCCTGGCATGGACATATAAAAATTCTGTTACCAATTCTCTGAACCCTTCATCGCCTGCCTATGAGTCTATTCTAACCACTTAAGGGGATGACAATAATAAATAACCCTACCTCTTACCACTTTTTAATTTCCTAGTATAAGAAACTATTCTGCTTTCTCCCAAATTCCCTATTCTCTTCTCATTTCCCAAAGATGTGCCCTTTCCACTGTACTGCAACATTCTAAATGTTCCACGTCAGGGCCTACCAATGCTGTAGGGTCAACTTACTCTGCTGGTTCACTTCTGAAAATTAGCTGGAACTCAAGTATTTGTTTCAATTAATTATTACTATCTTGCAGTTTATTTGATTCCCTGGATGATTAAAATTGTTAATGTGCTCAGCTGCTAAATGAAAGCTCTGGGGATCTGAGTCCACCCAGAAAGGCCTTGATTTCTGAATGACTGAATGAAAATTCAGTATGATTTGTAAACTCTGAAATAAAAATGAAATCTTCTGGAAAGATCACCCACTAAAATCACTATGGGTTTTGGAGCTTTAGGAGCACAGACATAAGGGACATCAAGGTGTACTCAGTCTGCACAGTCATAAGGGACATCAAGGCGTACTCAGTCTACAATGTTCTTACACCCTCCTCTGGTGAGAGCAGCTGGTGTCTTACAGACATGAGTAGCCATCTAAAGTGCAACTATCAGTATCTCTCCATGCAGAGTATAAAACTGAAGAGACTCTTATTATATTTTAGGGCATTATTTTTATCGTAGGAGTATGCAATAAGGGTTGCAGAGTGGATTATATTTGGGGGTAGGGGGTGGGGTTTGGGG